TCCAGTGAAATATATTTATGTTTGTGGTTGTAATGTGACAAAATATGGAAAAGTTCAAGGGGTATGAATACTTTTGCAAACCACTGTATGTTAGTTTAAAAGCATGCATAGAAGGCAGTGAGTGATAGGGTACGTGCAGTTGAGCTTTTACTTACACAAAATCTGGGAGATTTATGTGAACAATCATAACACAGTTTTAGATGTTTAGTACAGTCGTACATGCTGGATCTCTTCATCAAAACACACAACTATAAAGCCAGAGTGCTTGTGAAATCTGCATGTTGATGTCAGAGTCTCTCGTTCTCCATGACAACATCTACAGATTTAATTTAGAGATGCTCTGTTGTTTGCCTTCACAGCACTATTTACAAGCTCAAGAAAATGAATGGAACAACGTCAAAATGTATTTAATTCTCGATTTTCAACCTTTCCATTTCCACTCACGACATCCTGCTCAGGGCTAAATCGTTGGCGACAGAAGACTCTTTGTGGATGGTCTCAATATTACAGCTTATCCACTGTCAGTGAAACACACTTTAACTGTGGAGTTCAGCTTGTGTGCAGCTGTCGCCAAGTGTTTTTGAAATCTATTTAGAGGCCATACATTACACCTAATTTCTCCTCTTAGCCTTGCCCTCTCGGACTGAACTGCTGTTAATCAAAGTAATCTGCCTCTGCAGTGAGCAGGTGGAATGGAAACCATCGGTCTCCAGGGTCGTAACGGCACAAGCTAACACCCATCCTGACAGACTATTTATTCCTTTTTAATTGGAACCTTTAACTTGTGAGCTCTTCATCTCGCCGAACCTAAATCGCTTCGCTGAGAAGAGAAGAGAGGGGAAAAAAAGCAAAACTGTTGAGTTCTCCTGTTAACACAGCAGGTGATAGGAGATGACGTGGCTAGGCAGCAGATGTTCAAATGAATGTCTGGTTCACACCTTTAACATCTACTAAATATGCAGATGAGGGCTCTTTAATCCTGGTAAATGATCAGAGAAATGCAGAAAATGTGCAGACAAATGTCTGGAATTTAATCAGGAGACAATGCCCTGTGTTTACTGTGCTGAGCAGGGACTAAGGTTTAATTTTCTTTCTCTGATTTTAGAAACTAAAACCCAAAGCCAAATAGCCGGAGAAGTGCTCAGATTGCTGCTGCTCTTATCATAGATTACACTTCCTTAGAGACTCATAATGCGCTCAACTCTTGGGTTTATCTTGAAGATTGGGAGATAAACCACGGCCAGCTTTACATATGGATCAAAACCAAAGAATTACACTTTCATTTKTTTTCGTTTTCCAACTGCTTGAAAGAACTGGTTTTGCTGCATGTTTTACAAAAGCCTTATAAACAAAGAAATAAAGAAATAATACATGTGAAGTTTCACCATTGCAGCAATAAGTTGAAATTTTTTGCCCTTAGTTTAACTCTTGTGACTCTCATGGCCCCTTGCAATTCTTATGAAAGACTATCTCGTTAACGTTTGACCTGCTGCAAGCTGCTTATGCTGGGGAGATCCCGCTGGGAAAGACTGTTCGTCCGCATAATGCTCACCATTTAAAGATCGGAGGCTGACAAAAACCAATCACCCCTCAGCACATTTTAAATAATGAGTAATTAAATGTAAGACAAACCCTCTCTCAGGTAAAAGAAGGGGAGGCTGGTAGTTGGTTTATTTGAAGGACAAAACAGCCTATTTGGTAAAATTATTGTGAAACCCTGCACAAGTCTTTTTAGTACACGTAAAAGAAATGTGAAATAAAATAGACCTGTGTCGAACTCGTAACTTTACATTTTTGAATTCTTTTTGTTTTTGTTTACAGAGCCCTGGTAAAGAAGGGTGTGACCTTTCGAACAGTGACGCCCAGCAACTCTTTACTGTGGGACATCACTCTGGATCTGGGTGCTGACGGAGCCATCGCTGTGATTTGTCAGAGAAAGGGCCCCATACCTGGGAAAAGGCAAGCCTATTAACATTTACTGTCATTTGTGCAYGGGTTTAGATTATTTGTGTATAACTTTTGCACCTGTCAACAGTTTGACCTCGTTATAAGTACTGACCCTTAAAAATTCCAGTGGATGTTTAGCTGGTAAAGTTTTATTTTGTGCACCTAAGAAGCAAAAGACAATCCATGTGGGCTGAGCAGGTCTGACACCAGCTGTGCTTTGTCTCAGAAATGTTCTTATACTCCCTAAGCACAAGTTGGCTGCAGGTGCTCCTGTTAAACCCTTTGTAAACAGGTAATACCTTCTTCAGGTTTACTGCTCACTGATAATATTTAACATTTAGTAGCAGTGCAGGTCAATGCATTTCTGCACTAAAACAGATTTTATACCACACCTAAAGGGACCCCAGGGCTGCAGTGAACCATTTTGATGCAATATTAAAACTATATGGAGACATCTGCAGGTTAGTCAAGTCAAATCCAGCTCTTGGGGCTCCTGAGTACTTAATCTCATTAAACAGGGCTACAACTTATCTTAGGTGTGTTTTTTTCTAGTTCAGCATCTTTTTCTTTTCTTTTTTTATTTCACTAAAATCAGTTGAATTCAGTTTAAGGTTAAAAAAACACTGTTGCATAATTTTCTTTTGTTATGTCACAGTAGCTGGGAAAATGGTACCCATCCTAATTAAAAAATAACAAAAACAAGACTGAACAACATTTTTGGCTTGAACAAAACCTGAGGAAGAATAATCAAAAATAATTTGGAGATTCCTGGAAGCATTATTTAATAATATAAGCTGTGCTGTGCTGACAGGAACAAACAAAACTAAAAAAGGAARACCAAACAGAATGACCTTTGACTTATGATAATTTAGATTCAGAAAACACTAGATGAGTATAATGTCAGAAAAACAAGCTGTGATAATAGCAGGAATAAGTAGAGTTTACAGACATGAACTATTGAGTGTTATTTGTGTAGAAACAGAAATGGACACCAAAGTTTTGAACAGAAGTTTGACTACGAGGATGCCTGTAAGTGGAAACTACATGAGGACCAAAGACCTACCCCTGAGGTACACCACAACTCAGGTGATCTATCAAAGAGTTAGAAACTGAGGTCTAAAATAACTAAAACTTTCAAAGTGTATCTTACCCCCCCTGTGAAAAGATAACTCTGCCCCAAGGCAAAATTTGAAAAATGTGTGGGGGGGGGGGGGGGGGGGGG